ATAATAGTGTTAATAGTAATTACTTTTCTTTCTTGAATTTTCATCTTTTTATAAGTTTTTATAATAATTTTTCTATCTCGTTTGGGAACATGCTAATTTAGTAATTTTTTGGCTATTTAGCTAAAAAAGTAGGTAAAAAAAACTTATATGTTTGGGATGACTTTTTGGTTAATTACGAAAAGATGTGCAAAAAGTAGAGAGAAAAGAGAATCTTTGACTTTTTGATATGAGTTGTTGGCTTTTTGACTAAAAAGGTAACTTTTTGACTTTTTAGCTAAAAAGGTAAATCCCCAAACGGGGCTTATTTTGGGTATGGCTTATGTGATGTTTCATAAAATTGAAAAATGAAAACTGAACACTAAAAATTAAGTATTTAAAATTAAATGTTGAATATTTTAAGTTAAAAAATTGTTTGATAAAAAATGAAATGCTAAACTAAAAATAAATTATTTAATATGTATAAGATAAAATTTGAAATTTATTATTTTCAAATTGTATATATTTCAATTTTCATATTGTAATAATGTGGTAATGTTGGTGGTGATGGTGGTAGTGGTAGTATTGATGGTGGTGGTGGTGGTGATAGTAAAATGATGTAATGCTTATGACAATAATGACAATGGTGATGAAGGTGGCAGTAGCAGTAGTGGTGGCGGTGGCAGAATGGTAGCGGTGATGGTTGTGGTTGTGGTGGTGGTGATGGTAGCGGTATCAGTGGTGGTGATGGTGATGGTGATGGTAATGGTAACGGTAGTGGTGGCGGTGACATATATGATAGTGGTTGTTGTGATAACGGTGGTGGCAGCAGCATAGTAGTGGTGGTGATAGTAGTAGCGATGGTAATGGTGGCGATGGTGGTGGCATGATGGTGGTGGTTGTGGTGGTGGTGATAGTAGTGAGTTTATAATAGTATATTTTGATACTTATGTTTAATATTTATAAATTCAGTCAGAATTAAGTAAGTTTCATATGACTTGATTTTTTTTAAAATTTTAGCCTACATTTTAAGAGATACTTAAATTCTTAAATGATATCAATTATAATTATCAAAAGTGGTAAATCAAGTTATCAAACATCTACTTTTTTTTTGTTGACTTTTTTGCTTATTATGAAAAGACGTTCAGAAAAATAGAAAAGTGATATGAACCCAATAAACTAATAAGGTACTTATTTTTTGTGTTGCCAAAAGGGGAAAAAACTTAAAATTTTAAGGGCAACCTTCACTTAATCCGTTATGGTTTGGGTTATGTGCGGTTTATCCCTTAACGGTTGGAAATGATCATATAATCCCTTTGTGATTTGTGAACTGAAGTGCACCGTTTATGTCCGTTAACAATTTAATGAAAAAGACTAAAATACTCTTATATTTTCGTCATTTGTTTGGAAGATAAAGTACACTTTAACTTCCAGTACTTTATTTCATGTGCAATTTAACCCCTTGTACTTTATTTAACGTGCGATTTAGTCCCTCAAAATTTGAAAATGAGTATATAATCCCCTTATATCAATCATGTCTTTCACATTTACTGTTAAGTTGGACGAAATGTTTAACAGTGTATTTTAGTTCACAAATCATGTGGATTTATGTGGTCATTTTCAAATATTAGGGAGATAAACCGCACATAACCTAAACCACATGGAATAAGGTGAAGTTTGCCGAAATTTTAATGCAACATTTACATGCTTCCATGTATTTTTATTTATTTTTATAATTATATATTTCAATACAATTTTTTTTGAGAAATATCAAATTAGTGCAATTTAAAAAAAAATAATTACAAATTAATTTTTTTTTATAAATATTAATAATTAAAATTAAAAACTTTGCGATGAATATTTAATTATTTTTTTTTAAATCATGCAATTACCCATAGTCGGGATATTTTCTATTAAACAAACCATGAAAAAGGAACTTGTAAAAGTACTAGTCAGACTTTAACAAGAATGTCGTTGTAGTATAGTGGTGAGTATTCCCGCCTGTCACGCGGGTGACCCGGGTTCGATCCCCGGCAACGGCGACAGTTAATGGTTTTTGTGGTTTCTGCTCTAGGTGTCCCGTTTTTGTAGAATCATTTTTATATTTTTCAATGGAAACATCACACAATTTTATCAACTAAATTTTATTTTCCTATGAAATTGTTATATATATTAGTTTCCTATCAAATACACTCCTTGATGATTTTTTTTTTTTTTTTGAAAACTTGATTATTAGTTTTGAATGATTTAACCACTGAGTGTTGGCCTAGTGGATGATGACCGGGGACACAATTTTTGACATACTTCCACCATTGCCCGGCCTCTCCTTTCAATTGATGTGCCGCTACATTAAATATGGTAATTAAGATTTTGTAAATCAAATTTGCCCGGCCTCTCCTTTCAATTGATGTGCCGCTACATTAAATATGGTAATTAAGATTTTGTAAATCAAATATCCAAATAATAAGACTTATTGAGATACAAGAATATGTTATAAACTAATTCAGATCCAACAAATAAGACACCATCAAAAACTCCTCCCTTTATAGAAAAAGGCATAATCAAAGAACACTAAAATCATCCACCATAACTTCGATCGTTAAAAAAGTTTTTGCCTTGGTATTATGACATTTGGAACTTTTTGGAGAATGATATGTATCTACCACGGGCAAATGCTAAAGATAAACGGAGAATACGGGCATATGCATACCTTGGGCCCACAGACTGCAGGGCGTAAGCCCTGTTTCAGAAGGCTTGTTCAGGTTGTAGGGACATAGTCTGGTGCGCGTAAATTGGCTTATGATACCCTACATAACCTAAAAAAAAAAAGTTTTGGATGATTTGATGGAGAAAATTTATCATAACAATTATTGAATGTGGTAACTAATAAAAAATTTAGAAAAAATTGTAGATTAGTGTATGATTTTAAATCAATAATAAATTTTATAAACTTTAATCATTAAAAGGAAATTTTTTTTGATGAATTTATAAATATTTTATGGACTCACCACTTATTTACAATCTCTCCAAAAATTTATTGGGAACTTTTTTCATAAATTTCGTTTCTAACACTTTTATATCATAAAATTCAAATCATTTTTGATTATCCTATTAGGTCTCATTCAGTGCAGTAAGACCAAAGTACCCTCCCTTCCTTCTAAAAACAAAATCATTCCTATTTCCCATATCTTCACTCCAAAAAAATACATTAACTACACACCACTATTTAATGTTCTCATATCTTTACTCCAAAAAAATGTATTAACTACACACCACTATTTAATATTGATATACATTACACACAAAAAATTAAATATGATTCTTTATTGATTGTCATTATGTTTTGGTAGTTCCCATGAATCCAAATATTGACTGTACGTGATGACGTAAATGTTCACATTAGATGACGTGAATGTGAATGTTCACATTAGATGACATTGTGATAAAGGTGATGTTCACATCAACATTGTATCAAATTACATAACCACAAGTCTCAACTTTATTTGAATGTAAATATGCTAAAATATATGAATGTAAATATTTACATGAATTCTGAAATATAGATGTTAATATTATGAACATTAACATTTGTATTCACATTCATATATTTTAGTGTGAACATTCACGTCATATGATATTAACATTATGAACATTAACATTTGTATTCACATTCATATGTTTTACTGTGAATATTTACGTTATCTGATGTGAACATTTACGTCATCACGTACAGTCAACATTTGGATGCATGGAAATTACCGAACCATAATGAGAATCAATAAAGAACCCTATTTAATTTGAATAAAGATTGGGACCCCCTTTCCCCCACCCCCTTTGGCCCCCTTGTCATCACGTACAGTCAACATTTGGATGCATGGAAATTACCGAACCATAATGAGAATCAATAAAGAACCCTATTTAATTTGAATAAAGATTGGGACCCCCTTTCCCCTACCCCTTTGGCCCCCTTTCTTTTTTTATTGGTCACTTTTTCTTTTTCTTCTTTTCCTCCAATCATCACCCGCCACGTGTGTGTGGGGTGGTAGGGGTTGAAGTTTGAGGGGGTCTAAATCACTGCTGATTTAATTTTGTGTGTGTAATGTATATCAATATTAAATAGTAGTGTGTAGTTAATGCATATCAATATTAAATATAAGGGTATAAGAATCTAAGAAAATAGTGTAAATAAAAAAAAATAACCTTATGAAATAAAGGTATAAATACATGAGACTAAGTGAGTTATAAATTTCTTTCATGAACTTCTTAAGTTAGAACACTTTTAAATATAATTAATTAATAAAAACTTCAAGTTTATTACTAGTTTTTGATGACTTGACGGAGAAAATTTTTAACGGAAAAGTTTATTACTAGTTTTGAAAGATTTGATGGAGAAAATTTATTATAACAATTATTGAATGAGATAATTAATGGATATTAAGGATATTGTTGGAAAATGTGTTCATGCCAACTCATATACATAACCTTATTTGGGAACAAATCAATTTTTTTAACTTTTTATGAAAAAATATATGAAAAAATAGAGAGAGTAATGTAATAATTTATAATGACTTTTTGATTAATGTATCAAAAATATCTAAAATAATTTTTTTGTTGAGTTTAATGACTAAAATATATTTTTTTTTATCAATTTTATTTAACAAAAAATAAGTAGATAGTTTACATTGAAAACAAATTAAAATATTGAAGTTTGAATTGATAAAATTAAAAACTCAACACCAAACGTGATTTAAAATAAAAAAAATTATAAATATTAATAATTAAAATTAGAAAAATGCCTAAGACTCCCAATGGGGGTCACTGAGGGTTGTGCGTGTAGATCCGTGATTGACCCAAAAAAAAAACTTTTTTTATTTTTTTAATGAATAACAGCGCGCCACGTCACTGGAGAACGACTGAGGTCTGAAGGAGCGCTGTTAAAATTAATTAATTTTTTATTTATAAATTTGTAATTATTTGAATTTTTTGTAAATGAAAAGAAACAAAAAAGCATTGGAGGAAGGGAATGTCCGAAAAAGGCGGGGCAGAGTAGAAACTGGTGTAACAAAGAGGCCTTTGAAAACGCAGCCATACTCGCAACTCCAGACACACCACAAGCTCTCCTCTCCTCTCCCTCAAATTCCCTTTCCAAATCTCTTCTTCTTCTTCTTCTTCTTCTTCTTCTTCAATCCCTATCCTTCCCAACCAACAACACCTCTCTCTAACAATGGCGATCTCAGACAAGTCTCCCTACTCCCTCATTCCTAGCTTCCTCTACTCTTCTCCGGCATCGTCCTCAATGAATCTCTTCCATTTGGAACATTTCGTTTCGAATCGAAACCCCGACTTGCATTCTTCGATGAAGAAGAAGAAGAGCTTCGTGATTCCGGCTCCCAGCGAGCCAGGTAAGATCGACATGTACTCGCCTGCTTTTTACGCCGCCTGCACCGCCGGAGGTATCCTTAGCTGTGGCCTTACTCACACCTCCGTCACTCCTCTCGATCTCGTCAAGTGCAACATGCAGGTCCTTTTTCCATTTCATTCACTTTATTTATATCTATGCATGCATGCATGCATGCATCTATCACCACCATGTTATATCCATTTATATTTTAGGACTCGTTGGGTAAGAAAATCATGTAAAAAATTAAACTTATCCGACATGGGTTGTTCTTGTAGGCATGGTTCTAAATCGCAGTATCAGATAACATAACGTCATTAGCATCATTTGGAGTCTGACGCACAAGTAGCCATGTATATGAAACTGAAATTTTAAAATAATAGAGTGACTCATTTTTCATTCATATTTTTGGGTTATTTGTTCATTACTGGAGAAATTATACTCACATAGGCATTATCGAATTTTCAGATTGATCCCACAAAATACAAGAGCATTGGATCTGGTTTTGGAATTTTGCTCAAGGAGCAGGGAATTAAAGGTTTCTTCAGGGGTTGGGTACCAACCTTGCTTGGCTATAGTGCACAGGGTGCTTGCAAGTTTGGATTCTATGAATTCTTTAAGAAGTACTATTCTGATATTGCTGGTCCAGAATATGCAAAAAAATACAAAACTTTGATTTACCTTGCTGGCTCTGCATCTGCTGAATTAATTGCTGATGTTGCCCTCTGCCCCTTTGAGGCTGTGAAGGTTCGTGTCCAAACTCAGCCTGGGTTTGCTAGAGGTTTGTCAGATGGCCTTCCCAAATTTGTCAAGTCTGAAGGTGCTCTTGGGTATGGCTTTGAAACAAATTGGGTTTCAATTAAATAGCACAATTGTATTCATTTTTTTTTTGTTTGAGATTAAGTTTCAATTTTGTCTTATTTTCACAGGCTATACAAAGGGCTTGTTCCTCTTTGGGGACGACAGATTCCATGTAAGTTCCTTTCCGATGTACCAAAGACAAAAAGATTCCATGTAAGCTGATATAATTTGTTTTTGATAAATAAAGACAATTTTAAACCTAAGCCGAATTGTAAGGTGATGTAATTTGTCTGTGGAATTTTTGGGTGCCTATAGGATAGATATCACGTGATACCTTTTACTATTCTGATTGAATTTGACAGTGGAATCCATTATATTTATGTTGGGTATTTAAGAAAAAGCAAAGGTATATACATTTGTGATTGGTTAAAGATAGTATCAGGTGATAATCTATTAACATACAAATTTTTCTCAGTTTATCTAGTACAAACGGAATTGCTATGGAGACATTTATTAGAAAGGGAAAAATTGAAGTCTGAGTAGAATATTCCTAGAGGGGGTGAATAGGCAATTAATTAAAAATTTAGATTATACAGATTAATTACCCATTTTTTAGCCTTTAATTGATTAACCACACATATAAGCAATTTCATAAAAACACTAAGATTTTAAGGAAAAATCCAAGAGGACAAAAATCACGGTCCTAACTCTTAACAAAAATCTACTAAGAGCATTCAAGAATACAAGACAAGGACGAAAGTAATCTCGCGTTATTTTAGCATATCAGAACTCTGCATTTCTATGCTCTGTTTCATATCTTGGAGAAAGGGATTTATAGTTTGATATCATTCTTTCAAAATGAAAATTTAATCTTTTGAATCCATTTAATATCCTTGAAATTTAGAAATAGTTTAAAATTGCTGTCAAATGTGAACTCCCAACTTTTACCCTGTTATCTATCATTGGCGTTTATTCCATTTTGGCACGTGAACCTATGCTCAAAATTTGCACCCCTACTATACTGCACTGGTGCACATATAATAGTAGGAGCTGATACCCATGGGGTTCAGAACTTCAGTGGTATCTGTAATTTTTAGATAACACAAAAATTAAGAAATGATTAGAATATCATTCATTATTTATATTAATAAAGATTAATAATTATAAGAAAATCTTAAGGTATAAAATAATTATAAAATAATAATTCAAATAATAATATATTATTCTAACACTCTCCCTTCAAGTTGGGACGAAAATATCTCTCGTACCTAGTTTGCCTAAGATGTCATGAAAGGGCTTACTCTCAACTCCCTTGGTGAGGATGTCAGTAAGTTGTTCACCAGACTGCACAAAAGGAGTATATATTGTGCCACTAGTGAGTTTCTCCTTAATAAAGTAGCGATCAATCTCAACATGTTTTGTCCTGTCATGTTAAACCGGATTGTGAGCAATGTTGATAGCAGTCTTATTATCACAATATAACCGCATGGAATCTATCTGATTAATACTTAGATCATTTAACAATAACTTGATCCATAAGAGCTTACACACCCCTTGTACCATAGCTCTAAACTCAGCTTCTGCACTTGACCTGCCAACCACATTCTGTTTCTTACTCCTCCAAGTAATTAGGTTGCCTCCAACAAAGGTGCAATACCCTGAAGTTGATCTTCTATCAGTTACTGATTCAGCCTAGTCAGCATCTGTATAGGCTTCCACTCGAAAATGATCATACTTTGAAAAATAAAGACTCTTACCAGGAGCAGACTTCAAGTATCTCAAAATTCTCATGACAGCCTCGAAGTGGAGCTGATGAGGAGCATGCATAAACTAACTTACCACACTGATAGCAACAACAATATCAGGACGGGAGTGAGATAGGTAAATGAGCTTACCCACTAATTGCTTATAGCTCCCCGTATCAACAGCTACTCCTTTTTCATCATCCCCCAGTTTCTGATTGGGTTCCAGTGGAGTGTCACATACCTTGCAACCAAGCATCCCAATTCCTTCAATAGGTCAAGCACATACTTCCTCTATGAGATAAATATCCTACCTTTGGAGAGAATAATTTCAATTCCCAGAAAATATTTCAAGCTCCCCAAATTTTTGATTTCAAACTCATTGGCTAAATATTTCTTCAACAGAGGTATTTCCTCATTGTCATCGCCTATAAGAACTATGTCATCTACATAAACAATGAGCGATGTAGTCTTACCACGTGAGGAATGCTTCACAAATAGGGTGTGATATGTCTGACTCTGTTTGAAGCCATATTTGAGCATAACCTGAGTGAATCTCTTAAACCAAGCCATTGGAGATTGTTTGAGACCATATAATGACTTCCGGAGCATGCATACTTTGCCTTCTGTCTGATGATCCTCAAAACCAAGAGAAATGTCCATATATACCTTTTCTTCGAGGTCACTATGGAGAAAGGCATTCTTTACATCAAACTGATGAAGTAGCCAGTCTAGATTAGCTGCTAGAAAGAGAAGGACTCTAACCGAATTCATCTTAACCATTGGTGCAAAGGTCTCCTGACAGTCAACGTCATATGTCTGAGTGAACCCTTTTACCACAAGTCTAGCCTTATAACGCTCAATAAACCCATCCGCTTTGTGTTTCACAGTGTATACCCATTTGTATCTTACATGCCGTTTGCCCTTAGGTAACTTAGTCAATTCCCAAGTGCCATTCTTCCTAAGTGTTTTCATTTCCTCAATCATGGTAAGTTTCCACTTAGAGGTATCAAGAGTATCTTGAAAATGGTTAGGAATGCTAACAGAGGAAATATTTAATACAAACGCTCTATATGAGGACGATAAATGGGAGTAGGACACAAAATTTAAGATAGGATGTTGAGTACAAGATCTCACACCATTTCTCTTGGCAATAAGAACATCAAGATCAATGGACTCAAGAGATTCAAAGTTACCTAGATTCTCATCAGAAGTAGGAGATGGCAGTGGAGGAGCAAAAGTGGTATCTTGTATCCAGTTAACTTTCTGTCTATCTTTGTCCCTGACATAAACTTGCCCTTATTTATTCTTGGTGACATTGGGTTCTGTAGTCCTAGTAGGAGGTGGTGGTGCAAGAACAACTAGTTCCACCATAGGAATCACAGAAATCACTTCACACCAAGGCTCCTCCTGAAGGGAGGACTGTGACACCAGAGAGAACAAGAAATAGGATTGAGACTCAAAGAATGTGACATCCAAGGACACAAACCACTTACGAGAAGAAGGGTGGTAACACTTATATCCCTTTTGAATAGGATAGTATCCAAGGAAAGCACATTTAAGGGAGCGAAGGTCTAACTTACCATGAGTAAGAGAGTGATTGTGGACAAAACAAACACAGCCAAATATCTTTGGAGGAATAGAAAACAAGGACTTGGAACCTAGGAGGACTTGAAGGGGAGCTTGCTTTTGCAAGACCTGGGTAGGAAGATGATTAATAAGATAGGCAGCGGTGATAACAACGTCGCCCCAGTAGGACCAAGGTACATTCATAGAAAAACACATGCATTAAGCCATGTCAAGAAGATGACGATTTTTACGTTCTGCCACTCCATTTTGTTGACGGGTATTGGTGCAAGAGGTCTGATAGATAATGCCATGAGCAAAAAACTATTGCCCTAACCTAGAATCTATGTATTCCCCACCTCCCCCCAATTATTAGAAAGGAAGATTTTGACAGTGGCCCCAAACTAAGTACATATCATCTTATGAAAATTGCGGAACACAGAGAAAACCTCACTCTTGTCTTTCATAAGGTACACCCAAGCAGTACGAGAAAAGTCATCAATAAATGTAACAAACCATCGATGACCTTTCACAGACATAACATGAGATGGACCCTAGACATCAGAATGTATTAATGAAAAATGAACTAAACTTTTATTAAAACTGGGAGCAAAAGAAGCTCTGTGTTGTTTTCCAAGTTGACAAGACTCACAAAGAAATTCAGACACATTACTGTTTGCAAAATTAGATGGAAATAAATGCTTAGGTAAATAAAAAGGATGCCCAAGACGCTCATACCACAACCATAAATCATCTTGGGTAGTAAGACTCGTGGTAGAAGAATGAGCAAGCGCTTCTGGTTGATCCAGGAAGTAGAGACCATTTTCTGCACTACCATTGCCAATCGTCCTCCTCGTGACAAGGTCCTGAAAATGATAATGATCAGGAAAAAACATCACACTACAATTCAAATCTTGTGTAATACGACTCAAGGATAACAGGTTAATAGAAAAATTGGAAACATGAAGAACAAAAGATAAAGGTATGGTAGGAGTGACATGGACTAAACCTTTCCCAGAAATGAAAGAAACAGTACCATATGCAATCCTAACTTTGTCCTGACCTGAAGAGGGCTTATAAGTAGAGAAAAGATTAGAGGAGGTAGACATATGATCTGAGGCACCAGAATCAATAATCCAGGGCAAAGACTTATGAGATAGGAAAACATAAGGAGAAGAGGCTAAGTTATTTGAACGGGTAAACGACGAGGAAGATATACTGAGAGCAGTAGAAGGCCGACGATCCAGCAAGTGACGCAGAACATCCTCAAGCTCAGGAATAGTTATGCCAAAGAGACCATTAGAAGGCTGGCCAACGGAAACGAAAGTAGAATCAAGTGTATCAACGGTACTAGATTGATAAGCCCGTAGATGAGAACCCCGTCCTCTAGACTGGCCTGATCGACCTCCTTTAAAACCAGACTAATCACTTCGATCCCCGGATGGAGTCCCATGAAGCTTTCAACATGTCTCACGAGTATGCTGCGATTTTTTACAGTAATCACAGAATACAGATTCATTGGCGGCAGACGGAGGGATGAGAGTCAGGCTAAGGCCATCTTTAGGAGTAGACAGTAATGCGGAACAGTCAGTAGAGATAGGGGACATCATAGCAGACTGGCGACTCTGCTCCTTATGTATATAGAAAAATACCTCTTGAAGTGAAAGAAGAGTGTCCATACTCAAAACCCGACTTCGAACCGAATCATACTCCACATTGAGCCCTGCCAAAAACTTGAAGACCCTTGTCTGTTCAATGAACTTCTTGTACCCAACTGAATCAGCAATGCAAACGGGCTTATAGTCCTGCAGGTGATCAAGGTGTTTCCAGCCGTTGGTGAAGAAGGTGAAGTACTGAAGAACCGTCTACTTCCCCTAAACAGAGCGGCGTAACTCAAATACCTGTGAGAAATTCCCTTTGCGGGAATAGGTGGTAGCCACAGCATCCCAAACATCTTGGGTAGTTTCCATAAACAAGTAGCCCTCGCCAATGTCTAGTATCATTGAATGAATAAGCCAACCCAGAATCAAAAAGTTGATAGTCTCCCATTGGTCATAACCTGAGTCAGTTGTGCTGGGTGTCTGTATCTTGCCATCCGCATACCCCATTTTCCCTCTGCTTTTCAAAAACATAGTCAAACTCTACGACCACGCGAGATAGTTCTGACCATTAAATAGAGAGGTGGTGATTTTAAGAGTACGGTTGGGGTTTCCGTCATAGTAGTAGATATAGAGGAACTCTCACTCCTAGGTGTCTGAGAAGTAGTGGATACACTGATGGAATCTGCCATAGATACTGTACTACCGAACCCGCAACAAAAGTAGTACCAATCACAAATCCGGAAGGTGGAGGTAGAAAAAACAATACAACGACCACTATGAAAGCATAAAGTTTTTATTTATTTATTTTAGAGAAGAGAAATCAAACAGAAAGAAAAAAGAAGGAAAGAAGTCAAACCACAAACCACTAGGCCATACGTGAGGCAGACCAACCAAAGGGCAATGAAGCCGTTGATCAACCAACACTAGTCGACCACCTAGGTGACCACGAAGGCACTAGGCGACCCCCAAGGTGCTGCCGACAGGCCAGGAGAAGGGCAGGCTAGGGTTCTAGGGGTGCCGACAGACCTACAAGAGTCGGCTAGGGTTGGAGGCCCTTCAGCTTGAGCCGAGAGGGCTAGGGAACGTGTCGGCCTAGGCTAAAAGGGTCATAGGATTGGTTAGCTGAGTATGGATAACTTCGGCAAACCTTTCAGTAGTGATGGAGGGTGGCTGCTTGGTGTCGTTGGAATGTGGGCGATGGGTTTATGATTTTGGCTCTGATACTATGTAATTTTTAGAGAACATGAAAATTAAGGAATAATTAGAATATCATCCTCTATTTATATTAATGAAGATCAATAATTACAAGAGAGCCCTAAAGTATAGAATAATTATAAAATAATAACCCAAATAATAATATATTATTCTAACAGTATTTGGTTGATACTTACCTTGGTTAGTTGGTTGTTGACTAAGAAGGATGGATACAAACACATCGATACGTAAATTTTTAAATATATATATAAAACGCAACATGTTAAGGACACTAGTGAAATATATAAATTTATATATTTATTATATGTCATATATAAAGATAGATATTTGTGTTATGTCATATATATAAATATTTAAGTCCAATAATAATTTTTGAAGTCTAAATGAAAAGAATATGTATAAATTTACATTATTTTTGATTTATCATCACATTTCAAGTTATTTTATTCAAATTTGTAATGTATTTTATGTGTGTCTAAGTGTTAGGAAGTGTCCGACTTGTGTGGTGTCGATGTCGGACATGACACGTTACCTTCTGATAACTGTCCGTCCTTCTTAAGTTGTTGAGGTCCTGAGTTTGAGTTTGAGTACTCCCAAGAATAAAGTCCAATATAAGATCTCTTATGCAACTAATTGATGTGGTATGACATATTCTAGTATCTGATGATTCGTTGATGTATTACTGTTTGCTTATTTTTTATGCATAAGAGACATAACTATGATAAGACTACAAGCAACAGTTTGTATAATATTACAGTTTGTTCGCGGCTATTTACCGTTATGCCAATGACTTCTTGTAAGAAGAATTACATCTAATAACCCACCTTTTTTAGGAAGCCTGCTGACAAACAAAATGGGCATTTTGCAGATACAATGATGAAGTTTGCATCTTTTGAGACTATTGTGGAGAACCTGTACAAGTACGCCATCCCAACCCCGAAGGACCAGTGCAGCAAATCTTTTCAGCTTGGAGTGAGCTTTGCTGGTGGATATGTTGCTGGTGTATTATGTGCCATTGTATCACATCCTGCTGATAACCTAGTCTCTTTTCTGAACAACGCCAAGGGAGCAACTGTCGGCGATGTGAGTCTCGGATATCCATACTCTACATAACTATATTTTCTTTTTCTGCTTATGTTTGTTTGCCATATTTTGATGTCATTTGCATCCTGCAGGCTGTGAAGAAGATAGGATTGTTGGGTCTGTTTACCCGTGGCCTTCCTCTCCGTATAGTTATGATCGGAACCCTTACCGGAGCCCAGTGGGGTATCTATGATGCTTTCAAAGTTTTTGTTGGACTGTAAGTCTCACCTTCTATGCTTGCTGGATTGTTTTCTTCTATGCAAAAATTCATGAGAGGAGACGTGTTTGTTACCATTTAACTTGTCGGACTTGCCGAGTGGATTATCTATTCCAAAAAATCAATGTGATTGGATATCGATAATTACATGATCGAATTGCATTTGTCTTACAAAAACGATGACGAATATTATTTTCAAAATAAACCGTATATTTTTTTAAAGACAAATGTGAGCTGATAAGTGACTATTGATATTTAATCCACTTAAATTTTTGCATGCCTGATCTAGTCAGAGAAGGACCTTACAAGATGATCAATTTGGATCACCAAAGTGAATTTGGTGTTATCCATCATACATATACTTTGTTAAGTTTGATAGTGCGGAGTTTTTTCCCTTAAAGATTATTGTTTTTTGTATATTCTAAAACTGCAAATGGGGTTTGTTGACATTGTTAGGCCAACTACTGGTGGTCCAAGTCCTCCTGCGACTTTGCCGGCAAAGATGTGAAGTTAGAGTTTGATCATTGGACAATTGTGAAAGCAGCAGTTCTCTTGCAAGGCATTGAGGATGTTGCTCTATTTTTTTTAGGCAGATCAATAATATTAGGATTGGTGATATATACCTTCCTAGTCCTAGGTGGAATTTGATGTGGTGGGTATTGTATTCTTTCATAATATCTGTTTTGCATTCTTTTTTGCTTTTTGTTTTTGTTTTGCAGTTGTATTTGATTCTTTAGAGGATGGTTTTGATTTCATCCTCTCTGCTGTGAAACTGTAATTTGATATATAATGATATTCCAATCATGGTTTCTTCACAATGGGTTCTATAACAACAATTGGGCAACATCTTTATCTGATGAGGAGATCATATTGTAAGTCTACATTATAATTTTTGTGAATTTCAAAAAATATAAGAAGTTCCATAAATTTGGCACAATTATGGTGTTTCCTAACAATTATATTAAGTGAATACCATGTATGAACTTCATCTAACTACTCTATTTTTTTCTCCATTGTCTTCTATTTCCTCAATCAACAAGTCTCCAAATTCGCAGTCCTTTAACGAATGAAACTGTGGCCCTCCGAGAGTATGGTGTATCGTCTTTGGTAAGTATTCGGATCACCCTCAACAACCTTATTGTGACCCACAAGAAAGTTCCAAACAAATGAAACAAAACTCCGAATTCACAACCTCGGACGTCAACAACACCCAATTCCTCGAATGCCCAGAATTGTACGACACCATAGATGACCCATTCTTTCTGAGATCACCACCCCTTCCATTTTCGTAGTCTCTTTAAGTGTGTAGTCATGTTGAGAACACATTAAAATAGCATAATTCTCGTCCACCAAGTTGATTAATTTCTTAATTTCGATGGCTGTTAAGGCACCGCAAGAGTTTGATGATGAAGCCATGGCGATGGTTGTGCTACCGAAGTTCTTTGCCATAGACTTCTCTCCTACATCTATATATATATATGGTGTTATGCATATATATATGGAAGCTGCTTGATTGGGTTTGTATTCTATTCTCACTGTGAGTGTGATGGTGCCTTTGCTGGAATCTCAACTTGGTTTTGCCAAAAAAACAGAAGGTCGAAACGGCACCATATTTTAAGGCACGGCAGGGACAACAGGGAGAAAGTCACAGCAGTGACCCTATCTCCCATACAATGCAATAAAGAATACAAGGTAATTATGTCAAATTTGTAAGATTTATTTTACATATATAATAATTACATTTCCAGTTTCAAACTTCCATATAGTTTCTTGTTGCCAACTTTGCACCATGTGTGTTTAGGATCGAATCAGAATTGTCTAGAGTGATTGTTCATAGAGTGAGTTAGGCTTTGAAAGTTGAAAGGTAAAATAATTATTATACTCTTAGCTTTGATATAATTAAATCTTAGTCATCTAAAGAATCACCATAAGAAAAATCACTCTAAAAGATCCCCATTGTTTAAGACTTGCTTAACTCATTATTTGCCCATACTTTATCCACTTTGAGAATCTAACGCTGTGTTTAGTTGGGGAATTTAGAAAGGGATTTGAAAACGGAAAGAGAAAATGTAAGTAAAATGAGAATAAAATATATCTATATTTCACCTAGTTTCACACACCTTTTCCCTTTCTATTTCTAAATCCCTTCCCAAATCCTCCAACCAATCACAACATAAATGCACCAAAAAAATATTGCTAGATGCCTCATCTTTTATAATTTTTTTGATACCACTTTCTCCAAATCAAACTATCTAGAGAGACAACCCTCATCTCGATTACCCCCACCACCTTAAGCAGCCACCCCTTTCAGCTGACACACCTCCCCCAATTGTGTAATTCCCCAACCCCCTTTATTCCATGCCCCTTCTGGCCACCACCCCTTTCCACAAAACCTTAGATTTGCAAGACTCTCTCTATCCCCTTTTATCCACCGGTGATGGAGGGTGGTGGAGAGGGGGGGAAGGGGGTCATCAAGAAGGGAAAGGAAGTGGTGAGAGGGGCAAAGAGAGGGAAGGAGAGGGTGTGGCAAAGGTGGCCTCAATGAACTGGGTGGGTGACGGTGAAGTGGAAATTAATTTGGACATTCAAAAAATCAACAAAATTTAAATTTAAAATTAGAGTATACAAAGGAATGGGGGTGTTCAAGTGCATTTACAGAGTCCTGTCCACTCTCAAATAATGGATTCAGAGCAATTTATAACCAAAATATGCCCTGAAAGGCCATAGAAATTTGTCAGTCCCTATGACCAACTTCAAGAACATGAATTAAAATGTACCCGTATTGTAGTCCATGGTACCTTTAAACATGCCATTTTCTATTTCACTTTCAACAAGAGGCAACTACAAGTTCTAGTCTAACTCAAGAACAAAAGAATGTGTTTTTTCTCATAATTTGATTCTATATTTGGTATGAGACTTCTATTTTATTTCCCCCCTGTAATTTACATGCAACTACTTATCTCTGATTCTGATCTCGACTAGGGTTTATAGGGTACCCCGTATCAAAAACAATCCTTGCAAAACTACTTATCTCTGATTCTGATCTCGACTAGGGTTTATAGGGTACACCGTATCAAAAACAATCCTTGCAAACACATGCCGAACTTCCTGCAAGCTACCTAAGGCTAACAACTCATAATCAATCTTGCTACCTTGTTTCGATACAAACCCCTTTTCCTTACCCTCCTCCCTCGCACACTCAAAAATCCTGCACGTTCTCAAATACAATCCTAATGGGATAAATACCTGCAAACACGAAACAGAAGAGAGTCAGTCAGCTCTACTCATTAAAACAGCCCAACATCGTCCTCAAAAAAATAAAACAACCCAACAAACAGAACACCAATAGACCAAGAAACGACAAACAATATCACATGAAGGCTATTGCTTGTTTCGGTTTTTGTATTATTATTATTTTGGTTTATTCTAAACAACAGTTCAACAAGTTTCTTCTTTTTTTTTTTTTTCCCTAAACAATAAACATACACATACCTTTTAAAGTGTTTTATGTTATTAAAATAAGGGTTGCCACTAAACTCTATGTTCTTATTATATTCTTATTTTGGGGTTTCTAGGTCTTTATTTTGAATGTCAAGAAGGAATATATTATAATTTTTAAATAATATTGGGATTCATATCTCTTGCCATAAAGGTAATATCTTCCCCCATAGATGGTGTAATGTCCTTGTATAAAAAACTATTTATAACATGTGCCAAAATCAAATTATTTCTTTTCTTTTCATATATACGAAATTTTAACGTCACTTTTATAGTTTGTGCCAAATCTTACACTTCTGGATTCACAATTCAGTTCTTGATTTGACAATTATGTGCATACCATAGCCTACGACAATGGGTATGGGAGAAAAAATGAAAGGAGTTGGGAAATAAGAAGAGCAATAAAAGAAAAAAAACAGATTTGAGGGTTTACCAGATCCGAGTACGGTGCTTTGTGGTACATGGACATTGCCTGTGAGACAAAATACTCATCGGTCATTTTAGTCAGTACACATTTAACTGACGCTGCGAGATCCACAACCTCATCTTTCAACGACTCAACATCGAGATTCTGAGGTTGCAACAACTCATGAAAGCTCATGTCATGTGGTATAGAGATCCTCATTGCTATGTTTGAAACTTCCAACATATCTCCACCGTTGTGAACAGCAAGGCTAAATGCAGCAACCACCAGAGGATCTCTAGGTTGGTCTGAGAGTGCTTTATGAAATGCTAACATCCCAACCCTGAAATTAGAAACTTTTCATAAGTCTAGCTTGGTTCATCCGACAATAACAACTATCCAGCTTGAAAGTATTTTCAAGCATCACTCTGTACAGATGGATTATGCATTTCAATCTTCTTGGTCACAGTAAATTTCGAGTGGCATAGAAGTAACAGCCCGTAAAGATGCATAAGAAATTACTTCAAATCTATTTGAGATAATCTAAGCACAGACATGCAACACAACACATACATGAAATTTTCAAAAAATACAGGACACAACACGTGGGGAACACACAAAATGCATACTATATGTCATATGCATATGAATATAACATTCAAAGATTAAAAAAAAATGCAACATAAGATAATTTTTTATAAATCAACATTAATTTTCTTTTATTTTTGTATCCTAAGTTATTTCAAACTTATAATTAGTTTCAAGTGTGTCCAAGTGATGGACATGTATGTCCCCCAAGATGAAGAGTGTCTGGATCTTAAAAAAATTAAAAAATAATAAAACATGTTTTGAAGAGTGTCCGACATATGTCTGGAAGTGTCCATTGAGTGTCAGTATTCGACACGGACACGATATGAGCACACTACCTTCTTAGAAGTGTCTGTGCTTCATAGGAGTTAACCTTTGAAAGTGAGCGCAACATTCATTGAATTTATTTAAATGCTTATAAGTGCAGAAAGTTCAATTGAACATGTTGACTTCAAGTAAGCATGAAATGAACACGATCCATTTACCAACAAAATCTAACCTTCTCTTCAATAAGTTATATAAGCACATGTTACAAATAATCTAATAATGAAGCAAATGTCTTCAACAGTAATCTTACCACAAGCTACTGTGACAGGGTCTGTCGGGTGCCAAAAGTTTGTCCATGTTAGAGAACAAAGACTGCAGATAAAACCAAAGGATAAATTAATCCTTCAAAATTAAACCCAATCAATACAAAAAGAGTCATGCTATACAAATAGAAAATCTATATATAATTTTTATCCAGGATGATGCAGAAGCCTTGAGTCCTATTATTTAAAAAAGGCTCATCAATGTGATTTATATTTTCAAGAAAACCATTGCCACATCATTCTAGTATGAAATTCTGTGTTTATTGATCATTTTCCATACAGAAAAATTGACAACTCAATCCTCTACTACAAAAGTTTTTTTATTTATTAATATGACTCTATGACTTTTGTAGGTGGTTGGACTAGATCTAAGCTAATCTAAAGACAAAAACTCTCTTTCTTTTTAGTTTCATTTCTCCCTTATTCCCGCTAATCTAATCATTGATGGCGGATGTGGTCACCGGTTTAGAAGACATTGTTACTCTAGAGCTCGAGGAAGGATCTGATGAGTGTGAAGATAACTCAAACCTGTGTTTAATAGGGAAAATCTTAGCCCCGAAAACCCTAAATTGGCAAGCCGTGACTCGCATCATTTTGGGGGCATGGAAGACTAGAGCAGAGGTCTCCATCTCTGCTTGGCCGGAAAACACTTTTCTGTTTAGGTTTGGGAATGGAGAGGACCGGAGTATGGTTTTGGAAAAGGCACCTTGGTCTGTAATGGGACATCTTCTAGTCATTCGGCCTCTGCAAGTGGGTAAATCGATTGCTGAAATGGAGTTCACCCACTGCCCGTTTTGGGTACAAGTTCATGGACATCCAATAGAGAAGATGACCCGGCGAAATCGGCAGCTGATAGCCGAAAGCATTGGAAAGTTGATAGGGATTGAAGCTCCTACAGATGCGTTGTTACTGTTCAGGAGTTACCTGTGCATTAGAGTGGCTATTAATGTTACTCGTCCCCTTCCTAAGGGCTTTATGTTGAAACGACAATCTCTGGATGAGTTGGAGAAGGAGGTTTGGGTGGATTTCAAATATGAAAGGCTGTCTGATTTCTGCTATGACTCTGGGAGAATTGGCCATGATAAAAATTCATGTAAATTTGTGCCCAAGAAGTGGGAAGACTATCTGGTTATGGACCTGAGCTTAGAACAGGGGCTGCCGCAAATCTGGGGCTACCAGTGGAAGTGTATCGGAAACATATTGATGCAACGGAGGAGCGTCTCCAGCCCTTACTCTGGCAACAGAAAGGTCCAGTGGTGGTGCATGAGGAGGAGAGTAGAGATAGGACAGATGATGAGCAGGAAGGTCCTCTGGGTCCAGAGGGTACAGAATTACCACGCCCATGACCACATCCACCACCTCAATCAGACACAGCTGAGCCATGTGTCATGCAGTCTCAACCAACGCGTGACAGCAGCACTGGGGATACGACAAAGTTGAGAGCAGAAGCTTCAATTATTCCTAGCCCTTCAAATCAGCCACCTGCCAAGGTCAGTCCATCTGGGCCAAATATCTCTATTCTGATGAAACTTGGGCCCAACACTTTGAATATGCTTAGCCCAGCTGATTTGAGTGTCTTTCAAGGCCCAAACTCCCCGTCTTTGAATGTGACCCAAGGCCCTAGCCCATCTGGACCTGCCTAGTTCGTAACTGAACCTTCTGAAAGCCCCACATCCCCTAGCAGCCCATCTTCTCAAGTCTCTAAATGCTCATCTCTAACAAGCCACAAGCTATCTAGCCCATCATCAAGGCCCAATTGTGCTCCCTTGGGTATGGGAGTTTCTGAAGGTGTCCTCTCATCTGTTTTCAATTGGTTATCCCTCAAAAGGAAAGCCCAAGATGGAAATCTGGCCCTTATGAACCCAAACAAATTTCTCAAGGTGGAAAGTAGGCCAGGGGTGGGGTTTTCTCTACTCCCATTTCACGAGAAGGCTACGAAAAAGAGTACTACCGGTAAGATAGGAGCTAGGGGGAGACCTCCAAAGAAGAGAGGAAGCCCAAAGGAGGAGATTACGCAACTTAGCCTTGTGGAGGTGGAAGTTCGTAATGGGTACCCAGAAATTTTGGTGGAAGAAGAGTGCTACTCACAGGTTCCAAATACTTATCCTATGGAAAGCCAAGTGGATTGTTCGGAAAAGGTGGTGGTGGCTGACCTACAACGGCCACAAGAGCCATGTTGATTATCAGCTTGAACGGTCAAGGGCTAGGGCGACCTCTGACAGTCCAGATCCTTAGAGAGTTGGTTACAACCCATCGCCAAGGGTTGGTCTTTCTGATGGAAACAAAAAACAAAAGTGCAACGTTAAAAAGAATAAGGAGGCTTCAATTCCACAATAGCTGTTATGTAGACCCTGATGGTTTAGCAGGGGGTCTGGCTTTATGGTGGACTTAAGAGGTGGATTTGGATGTCAGACAAAAGTCAAGTAATTTGTTTGATGTGTGTCTCGGGACCAAGAAGTGATTGGCTTTCATCTACGCACCATTCAAGCCCAATCTAAGGAACGTTTTCTGGGAACAGACTAGATCTATTGCTAGAGAGAACAAGAGACCTTGGCTATGCATTGGTGATTTTAACGAAGTCAGTTCGGTATGGGATAAAGAGGGAGGCACCGTGCCTAGTTCGAGAAGAATCGAGAAGTTCCAACAACTGATGTCAGATTGTGTTTTTATGGAGCTGGAGTTCAAAGGGCATGCCTTTACCTAGACTAACAATCAAGTTGGTTTAGATAATGTGCGTGAAAGGCTTGATAGAGCAGTTGCAATGGTGGGGTGGAGAGAACAATTCCCTTATGCACAGGTGTTTCATGAAGTCTTTATTGGTTCGAATCATTGCCTTTACTGCTCAATACTTGCATTACATTAAAAAAAGTGCCCAGACTTTTCATATTTGAATCCATGTGGACATCTACTCAGGAGTGTAACAAGGTTATATTAGACAATTGGCGAAAGTTGCAAGTGGGCTCTCCTATGTTTCGGGTTTGTCAAAAACTTAAAGAGTAAATACGGGTTGAGAGAATGGAGCTTGAAAGAATTTGGGAACAAGAGGAGAATTATTACCCTCAAGGCAAATTTAGCTAAACTTCAAGCACACCCATCTTCTGAAGAGATTATCCTTGCGCAATGAGCCAGGCCTCGTTTGTTAACTATACATTTTAGCCAAAAAGTCAAAAAGTCACTATAAGTTATCACATCACTCTCTTTACTTTTCTGCATATCTTTTCGTAAAAAGTCAAAAAGTTACTAAAATAGTCTGTTCCCAAACGAGACCAAAATTACTACAACTCTCTTTCATGAAGAGATGTATCTGCACCAGAGATCCAAAGTTAGGTGGTTGAAGTTTGGGGACCAGAACTCTTTTTTTCATGCGTCAATTACGCAGCGAAGGCAAAGAAACCAATTAATACAATTACTAGATAAACAGAATCAATGGTTATCTTCACAATAAGATATTAATAATCATCTGTTACAGTACTTCTCCAACCTTTTTCACAGTGATCAAGCTAGGAATATGGAACCTTCTTTATCAGTAGTGATGCATGCGGGTGGTCATGGCAAAGATGAACACAAGTTTGACAAGACAAATCTTTGACTCTGAAATCAAAACAACTGTGTTTCAATTGGGATCCCTAAAGCCCCCGGGGCCTGACGGGTTCTTGGGCGTCTTCTATCACAATTATTGGGATGTGGTCGGGGAAGATGTTTAAGAGGCTGTAAGAAGTTTTTTCAGAAGTGGGCACTTATTGAAAGAATGGAACCACACCAATCTTGTCCTCATTCCTAAGGTTCCAAATCCAGAGAGGGTTACTCAATTTCAACCGATAAGCCTTTGTGATCATCTCTAAGATTCTTGCTAATCGCCTTAAGTTGGTGCTTCAGGAAATCATTTCCCCTCAACAATTTGCGTTTGTCCCAGGGCAAATGATCCAAGATAACATTATTGTGGCTCATGAGGCTTTCCATCATCTTAAATTGAAGAAGAGAGGTACAATGCATGAGATGGCCATTAAGCTCGAGTTCAACAAAGCTTATGACCGAGTCCAATGGAACTATTTGCAAGCTCTCCTATTAAGGATGGGTTGTGATAGGGTTTGGATTCAAAGGGTCATGGAGGTTGTCTCAATAGTATCCTTCTCGATTTTTGCAAACAATTTAAGGAAAGCTTCTTTCCTCCCTTCTAGGGGGTTGCTACAAGGGGACGCTCTTCCCCTATCTATTTGTGCTTATTACTGAGGGGTTCTCTCTTTCATTGTCTAAAGGTTTGTGCGACAATCAGTTTATGGGAATCAAACACAATAGGGGATGCCCTACCCTCACTCACTTATTCTTTGCTGACAATGCCCTCCTAATTGCTAATGCAAACTTAGAGGAGTGTCATTCGCTCAAAACAATCATTGAGGAGTACAGTGTGGCCTCAGGTCAACTTACAAACTTAGAGAAATCCAAGATTATATTTTTAGCAAACTCTCCAAAGAATGTGAAGCTAAGTGTTAGTGCTCTCGTGGGAATTCCTTATTTTAAGTTTTAACACAAACTCAAGGTACATAGGCCTCCCGTCTTTCTGGGGGAGGTCTAAATCAGAGGCTTTTGGTTATCTGATTGGGAAAGTAGTGAACAAGATGCAAGGGTGGAAGCATAAATTATTGTCACAAGCAGGAAGGGAAATTCTTGTTAAGTCGGTGGTCCAAGTGATTTTGGCTTATGCTATGGCTTGCTTCTTCTTTCCGAAGAAATTCAATGATCAGCTCAATTCTTATATTAGTAAGTTTTGGTTTTGGTTTTGGTTTTGGTTTTGGTTTTGGTTTTGGTTTTGAGGGAGGGAAGGTGACCCATCTGATAGGGGAATTCATTGGGCTAGCTAGGAAAGCTTGACAATGGCCAAGGATCAAGACGGGATGGGTTTTCGTGATTTCAAATCTTTTAATCTAGCTTTGCTAGCCAAGCAAGCTTGGAGACTGCTTGCCCGAATTCTTTCTGTGCTAGCATTTTGAAGGGGATTTACTTCTCGAATTCTGATTTTTTGTCAGAAAAAGAGGAAGAAGTCCCTCATGGGAATGGGCTAGCTTACTTAAAGGGCAAGAACTTTTAAAGAAAAGGTTGAGATAGTAGCTAGGCAGTGGAAAAAATATACTATTTTGGGAGGATCAACGGTTTCTTTATTTCCAGAATTTCAAAGTCTAGAGTCCAAAGCCCAATGGGTGCCAAGTCCAGTAGGTAGATGAGGTGATTCACTCAACATCACAAAGTTGGGACCAATGCAAGCTCATCGAGCTGGTGGGGAAAGATGAAGCTCAAAGAATTTTTGCTATTCCTATTTCTTTGGTAGGTAAGGAGGATTCAGTCGTTTGGCAGCACACCAAGAATGGAGTCTATGAAGTCAGAAGCGAATATCGTGTGGCAATCAAGCATCAGCAATCGAGTATAAGTTCGGGAGCATCATCTTTGTCTCTAGTACCAAAAAGCTTTTGGGAATACTTGTGGTCAACCCTAATTCCTCCTAAAGTTCGTAACTTCTGGTGGAGGGTATGCCGTAATAAGCTAGCCACCAAGGAAAATCTTTTTCGGCATCAGTATGCTGCTTCACAGAGTTACCCAATGTGTGACAAGGAGGTGGAATCGATTGAACACCTCGTTTTCCATTGCGAGTGGACTAGAGCTATTTGGTTTAGGTGTGATCTTGGTTTCTTGTCTGGGAGGGAGTCATCCACTCAACTAAGGAATGGATTCAATCTATTAATGAGAAAGGTGAGAATGTTTCAGACAGGAAATAGTCGTTAGGGGGAGCTGCCATCGTTGGTTGGTGCATTTGGAAAACCCGAAATGAATGGGTCTTTTACTCATTCCCAAGTTGATCCAACTCAAGTCATCAAACAAGCTTCTTCTTTATGGAGGGAAGCCGGTACTGTGTTAGTTAAAGGCTCAGAGGTTGAATTGGCAAGCTCCTATCCATATGGTGACCACCAAGTCCTCAGCCGTCCTAGATGGGTTCCTCCTCCAAACTCGTTGAAGGTAAATTGTGATGCCTCTTTCGATTATGCAAAACAGAGGTCTAACCTTGTTATCTTGAGGGATGGGAAGGGGAAATTGGTTGATGGCTTAAGCCTCGTTTAGGAATAGGCTATTTTAGTAACTTTTTGACTTTTTGGCTAAAATATGAGGTAAAAATCACCATCCACTACACACCATCCACTACACCTACATCTATATAAGGAACCATTTGTAATAGACAGAATATGTATCAATATATCAATCAACAATCAATCAATAATATCCATCAATATATTTTACAGATTATAGGTTTTTTGGCTTTTTTAGTAACTTTTTTGGCTTTTTGACTAAAATGTTAACTTGCCAAACGAGGCCTTAGTCTCATCAATTTCTTCTTCATCAGTCTTGCTGGGAGAGGCTAGTGCAGTTTGATTGGCTTGTTTTTTCCTTCAATAATGTCCAAGTGGAAAGTGATAACAAGTCGGTCATTGATCTTTGTGTTTCTGAGCTGGTGCCCCGTGGGAGTGCAGTGCAATCATTCATGACATTAGGCAGCTTAGCTTTAACCTTTAGATTTCTTTCTCTTGGGCTCCAAGAGAAGCGAATCGGTGTGCTCACTGGCTTGCTGCAGCCCAGACCAGGGGTCTTCTTCCGTTAGATTGGGTTAGAAATTCTCCTTTAGCTTTGAAGGTGTTGCTTTTGTTGGATGCTCGTGTAGCCTAGAAGACTTTACGAGTTCCAAAAAAAAAAAAAAACAAACTAGATCTAAGCTACAATGTCAACTAAATGTTGCTGCTAGCAGTATCCCTAATTTTCACACAAAAAAAAAATGGTTAAGAAAAGATAACTAACGTACAAGAAATTTTGAACAACCTAAAGTATAAATAAAATCAATACGTAATAAAGAAAAAGCTAGTAAGTTAACTTACCAAAAGCATGTTAGATCTCTTGTCCCGTCTCCTAAAACCTTGTTGAACAAAATACGCTGCCTGCAAGATGTAGTTACATTAAAATTGTACTTTAGGAGACCAATCAGCAAAGCAACAAACTTAAAATCACATTCCATACTTGAATTGGTAGAAGTATCTCAAGAAGACCGAATTTCCATAATAACCTCAACGAAGCTTCTGCAGAACCATATGCTAGCATGTAATTCATTTCCATGAGAATTCTTCCCTAGAACATTCAGGGGAGGAAAAAAATCACCAGGAACATTTTCTTCTGTAAATAAAAAGTGTAAATGAGTAAGAAGAGCCTTTAATATACCTTATCAAGTCTTAGAACTGAACAGGATAAATTTTTTATACTGTGAGCTGTCTCCCTTGTAAAGCGGAACCCTAAACGAGCAGCAATTCTAATTGCACGTAGTATTCGAGCTGCAAAATAGAGTAAACCATATTCTAAAATAACAGTACAAGAAGAAGAAGATGATGAGGCTAATGAAAAGAAAGACTATGAGTATATGACGACTGTGATGATGACAACTATGATGAAGGCAATAATGATACACGCGTCATGCATTTGTGTGCTTGTATAATTGACAACAAAATGAATCGCTAAGTTGGAGTTGGTGCTTTAATGGGTATTTGAGGCAGACATGTTAGAGTTTTATCACATCAAAGAGAATTCTACCAGCAACAACAGAAATATGTGTTTTAGGATATTTTAGAGAGATAAAAATTTGTAAACAAGAACTCACCACAATCCTCTAGAAATGAATGACTTGCACGAATTGTAGTTCGCACCTAAGACAAAAGGAAATGATGTGAGCACACTAATACACACAGAAGCAGAGGAAGGCAATTTAATATCAGTTAGAGATAACATCACACACTTTAGCTTTTTTAATATCTTCCAGTCCTCCCATGTAGTCATAGACTAAATTTGCATACGGATCAAGCATCAAACTGAAAAAAAAAAAAAAAAAAAAAAAAAAAAAAAAAAAAAAAGAGGAAATTTTTTTAATAATTAAAAAGAAAGAAATAAATCCCAAATGTTTTAAACCAGGGATATCATTTTTTGTTCTAAAAAAAAAGGGTGAGAGCGAACACTGTGAGAAAATTCTCAAAATAATAGTCTAAATTTTGTAGTTGAAAGGGTAAAATTTTCGCAACCCGTTTATTGTGAAGTCCCGCTGCAAGCAATTCCTCCAGCGGATATAATCCTTCTCATCACAGCCAATAGGACTTTCAAAATCAGAACTTGACTCCCTACCAAACTTTGGGGCAGAGGTGCTAAAACTTGATACCTGGATACAATTCCTATCAGAAACAAACAAAACATATGCAACTTCCAATGAAAGATCTTTAGCAAACACATAATAAAAGGAGTACCAGATTAAGATGATAAAAGAGAACAAACCTCAACAATTTTATCCTCAATGTGGACATGGCAGATCGGAAACCGTCGTCCAACTATTTCACATCGTGAAAATGTTCTCATCACCTGTAGATTGTGGTAATTAACATGGTGTGTTGAAAGCCTAACAAGATGTACTTATTATTGCATTGCACGTATAGTATGGTTAGACATAACAATTAATACTACCAATTTGAAATTAAATGTGGGTGGAATATTGACTGATAAAAACTGAAGTTTGTTTTAGTTCCTAGAACACTGATAATTGCCAAGAACTCTGATCACAACAATGATGTTGGTGCTGAAACTTTGGCCACAAATTTAAAGAAGTGAGTTAGTGGCCTTGTGCAGAGGGTGCATGCTTTTCACAATTAGCGGGTCTAAATTACTCTATCAACTCTTCTGGGACCACTTAAATAATGGCCAAAGGAATGTTATAATCCCATATGTTGTCGAATTTATAGTATCCATGGTGTACATTCCAATCAACTTTATCACACAAAAATCTACTCGAACATTCTCCTTTGGAAAATTACAAATAAATTAACATTCTCCTTTGGAAAATTAGTTATGCATTGACTTGGTCATCCATAAGCATCCTAAAAACTAAACCAACGCAAACAACAAACTCAACAATAAAAGGCTTTTCTTGAAAAGCTTCAAAAGCAACATTTTAACTGTTTCTTAAAAAAGTTAATCAATGTTGAAGACCTAAAATTTAATAAAAGAGCACATCTCAAAAATAAATATAGGAAAAGGATTACCAACTCTCATGCGGCCAAAAAAAAAAAGGAAAAAAAGAATCTTGATAAATGGAATTCTGTAGGTAGGTAATATTTCATAAAAATGAGTACTAAGAACCAAATCGTCAATGCATCTCAAAATAACAAGAAAACATAAGCTAATACTAGCCTCCTTAAGTTCAGCTGAAGTTATTATGTCAAAGTCCTTTGGTGTTCGCTTCAAAATAAGATCACGTACACAACCTCCCACAAGGTAAACTTCAAATCCTACAAGTCCACAAAGCAAAAGGGACAATAGAAAAAGCCTTTTGGGAAAAACATAAGTTAATTCAACAATCAATTCACGGTTCAACGGTGAACAAGAGCAAAAAATCTAAGATATTCATTATGTACCAAATTTGGCAAGCATGAATCATTTACTATAAATCAGAGAACCTATGAATGATTAATGCCATAATGAGCTTGGTAACATAAAATTGCTAGCATGGAAACTTTACCTTGGTACAAACATGTTCATACTACATAGTGGAGTAATTCATGGAATTTTATTAGTGTCACAGCAAAATCTATTGATTGACAAAACATGGAACTATGAAATTAGAGATGAATATGTGAGCACAATCTTAAACAATGAAACATTTGAGATCAAGACAACAAGAGATAATGAGCCTTGTATATCCCTATGTTACATGGACTCTTGAAAATAAATTAAATACCCATGTTTGACATTATGACAAGGGTGTGGGATATGTGTCCAATACTTTTCATCGGCCACTTCTTATATATTTGTATTTAATACTATCGTTATATCTATATATATTGTTACAAAATCCCTATAAAATGAGTTAAAACGGCCTTTTGACATTGTATATTTCATATAATATCATTTGACTTGGCATAATAGATTAAAAATATAACCATTTGTTATTGAGTGAGTCTACATACCCTTAAATTTAAGGTTTGATGGGTCCAACTTCTAGATACACACCCACACTCGACACCTGAACACAAGTCCATGTTACATAGGTATATCCTAATCTACAAAAAATTAGGAGTCATAATGGTATAGGTACAAGATTTCAGGAAAAGCATGTCATGATAGCCTAAAAATATACTGATTATGTTGTAACTAGGATGAGTTGACTTGAGCATTGGCATGTATTACTCAGAAAGAACTACCAAGTTAGGTTTCAAATAATAATTTTCAATTTTACAAACTAAATTTTAACAGTATAAGCAACTTGGGGTTAGTTAGTACAGTTAGAAAGGAATGGTAGTTAGATTGTTAACTACCATATGTATATATATATAACTAAGTAATAAAATAAGATGATAATTGGATTAAAAAATTAAGCAACAATCAACCTAATCAAGTTTGGTTTCTCATTTTTGTTTTCAACTCAGGAGCCATTGATTACATTCATTTGTGAATTACAGGATGCGAAATTGGACAGGTAAAATCAATTATTTTCAAGAACAGTAAGAAAAAAAGAGTACCTTTTCTTTTAAGCCCATTCAGAACAATTCTAGTAGGTTTTGCAATCATAGAATTACTGATTCCAAGTTCTTTCGAACTCAATCTCTTCCATTCCGACGCATTAAAACCGCTTTCAACTACTCCAATTCCACACCCAAAAAAATAAAATAAAAAATCAAGTCTTTAACATCAAAAGAAAAGCAACACACAATTCTAAAACAATCAAGCAAAATTTCTAAAAAACTTCACTTGCCTCTTCCACTGGAAGTAACCGAATCGTGATTGTTATTGTCTTTGATGAGACTCTCTGGTTCATCAACTGTTTCAAATGCTGCAACAGAGCTGAATCGAACCTGCATGAAAATGAAATTAATGGTTACAAATCTATGTTTATACAAAGAAGGTTTGATATATATAGATATATACCTTTCGGACGAAATGGAGAAGAGAAGGGCGGATGAGATGAAAATGGGGTCGGTAAGCGAATCCCAAACCTGTGGAAATGGCCATGGAAGAGTCGGTTCTTCAAAATCCCATGAGAATCCAGGGGTTTTGGCAAAGAAAAACCCTAGATTGTTTACACTCTGTTTGGATTGATAGTTTTTGGTGAGAAAAGAAAAGAAGGGCTGGGAAAAGAAAATTTCCAACCAACTGTTTGGCTGGCTAAGGGGTTAAGAAAATTTCCAACCAACTAAGGGTTTTTTTTTTTTTTTTTTTGAAATAATGTGTAAATTAGGTTAATTTTTTTTAGGATAAATTATACTTTAACCCATGTGGTTTGTCTAAAAAACACAAAACTTACTAATAGTTTCATTTGTAACACTTAAATTTCTAAACTATCAAACTGTAATTTTGGACGGACATAACAGAAGTGATAAAAAGTCATAAATGCTTCTATATATTTTACACTTAGTCATTTCATTTGTATTATTTGATATCTCTCTCTCTTTTTTTTTTTTTTTTCTATCTCTCTGTCTCTGTCTCTCTCTATATATATATTATGTCTTACCATGACTACCATCATCACCACCACCTTTTAACACCAAACTCATCTCATTCACCGATTTTTACGACCAAGTTCTATCACCAGTGCTCCACGATCACCATCACCGCGAGCTCTACATCACCACTGGACTATCACGACCACCATCGCCTAACTCCGTCAAAACCAAGAACCACCATTTACAAAGTGCTATGAAGCATGAAAGATGGTGTATGATGAAAAAGAAATAAATAAATTTGGAGATGTTTTTTTGAAACGCGTGAGGTTAGTTTTCGGACATCTTTCGACATGCCGAAACCACCCATTTTAGGAAGAAGTGAGAAAATGAGGTGGCGTAGGATAAAGTATAAAGCAAGGTGAGGAGATTGGTGAAAGAACAAGATAAATTTGTTAAGGATCGAGGAAATTATGGAGTTTGAAAGATGAGCTAAAGAAATGAAATGAATAGGGGAAAAAAAAATCTTATTTTTGGTCGTCTCTCAGAGTTTTGACAAAACACAAGAAGAACGGAACGAAGCGTGTGAGGAGTGATACGAAAATTAGGCCGTGAGGTGAATCCAATGAAGCAAAAATGAGACAAAACAGAGTTACGATGAAAGAGATACAACAGCTTGAAGTGGTGCGTTTAAATTTGAAAATCTGATCTTTTCGAGCTTGTTCGTGCATGTGTTTTGGAGAATATAAAAGTGGGTTTGGTTGGTATGAATCCCATCAATGTTATTTCAAAAATCTAAATGTTTCCACATATTAATTGTTTGATTCCATAGGTTGGGTTTGTTACTAATTTGAATCATAAGGAGAAAAGTGGGTTTGGATAATTTTTAAAGAGAGAAAAGTGGGTTTGATTTCGTGATGGTGATAATGTTGGTTGGTTGTGATTTTGCATAGAAGGTAATGATCGCGAGATAAGAGGATAAATAAAAAGTGATGGTGGTAGTTTTGCATGGAATATGATAGTGGTGATGGTGGTTGGGTGTGATTTTGCATGGAAGGTAATGGTAGTGAGATGGGAGAAGAAATAAAAGGTGATGGTGGTGGTTTTGCATATTTGTGTAATGAAGGACAGAGAAGATGTGTTTTGGTCCAAGAGTGTAACCCACGGTCTGTTACACTATACTTTTATGCTCGTGACGTCCACGTTCTGTTTAAATAAATGGATTCGTCAGAAATTATAGTTTGATGTTAAGCCTAGGGGTTTAAGTCTTACAAATGAAACTATAAGGGGATTTCATGTTTTTAATTTTAATTTTAATTTTTTTGCTATTTTAATCAATTGCCAAACATGGCAGTAGATGGAAAAAAACAGAAGGGGTGAAGCACTAATAAATCCGAAAATGTAATATTGTGAACGGTTTAGTCCTCTATTTTTTCTTATAAACCCAAAGGTCCTATTAAAGTGTAAATTACATAAAAGGGTAGTCACTTACATGTTTGGGTTTAATTTTTTAAGAATAAAAGTGATTTTTTCAAAATGTAAAATTACACATTTGGACAATTTGAACTATAGAAGTTATGGATTTTCCCTTATTCTAGAACAAATCCCACATTACGAATAAAAACCTAATACTCTAATGTAACACTCCAATAACATAACACTTCAATGTAATACAATAAAAAATTATTTGGTATACTTTTCCCAAATGTAACAACTAGCACTCAAAAAAAAAAAAAAAATTAGTGTACTTTTTCTAAACGTAACGCTCTAGTATTAAAAAAAATAAAAATAAATTCTTAGTATACTTTTTTCAAACGTAACACTTCAATCAGTGTAATCCCAAAGGTAACACTTCAATGTAACATACTCCAATGTTCAATGTAATACAATAAAAAATTATTTGGTATACTTTTCCCAAATGTAACAACTAGCACTCAAAAAAAAAAAAAAAATTAGTGTACTTTTTCTAAACGTAACGCTCTAGTATTAAAAAAAATAAAAATAAATTCTTAGTATACTTTTTTCAAACGTAACACTTCAATCAGTGTAATCACAAAGGAAACACTTCAATGTAACATACTCCAATGTAACACACAAAAACACTAAAAAAACTCTTTATTATACTTTTTTTCAAATATAACACTCACAGTTTGAAATTATACATTTGTTCAAAACTTACTAAGAAATATTTGTACTTCTTTTGAAATGGTTTGAAGAATCACACATTTTTTTTAGTGTTACATTGGAGTGTTATGTTTAGGAAAAGTAAACTAAGATATTTTATTTTTTATTTTTTGGTTACATTAGAGCATTACGTTTGGGAAAAGTGCACCAGAGAGTTTTTGTGCGTTACATTAAAGTGTTATACTAAGGAATTTTTTTAGAGTATTATATTGAATTGTTACATTTAGAAAAAGTATGCTAAGGAATTTTTGTGTGTGATATATTAGAATGTTACACTAAGGAGTTTTTGTGTGTTACATTAGAATATTACACTAAGGAATTTTTTTAAAATACTATATTAGAGTGTTACATTTAGAAAAAGTACATCAAGAAATTTTTTTGTATGTTACATTAGAGTATTACACTAAGAATTTTTTGTGTATGTTATATTAGAGTGTTACATTAAAGACTTTTTTTAGAGTATTATATTGAAGTGTTATATTTGGAAAAAGTACATCAATAAGTTTTTTTATATGCTACATTAGAATGTTACACTAAGGAGTTTTTTTAGAATGTTATATTTGAGTATTACGTTTGAAAAAAGTATAGTAAGAAATTTTTTTTATGCGTTACATTAGTGTTGTAATTGAATGTTAATTAATGTCAATGCTATAATGTTAATGTTACAATAGGGACGAATACCACAAAAAGGAACAAACACCACGCCAATAACATCACAAACGGGGTAACATCATCTACCTACACATCACTCCACTAAATCCCAACAAAAAAATAGAAACGTAAATACCTACACTACCCACGCACACCCAACATTAGGAAAAAAATCTAAACAAAATCACACACAAGGGTAAATAAGTAAACTTTTAAACCCCCAGAATTAAAGAAATACAACATATCTAAAATAAAAAGGACTAATTAGTTTGAAAGAAAACTTTTAAAACTAAATGGAATAACTTTCTTTAAATGGGATTTATGAGTAATTTTTTGAAAAAAAACAAAGGCGGGAAATAGTTAGAATTTTTTGGGGAGAATTTCAATTAAGTTTAAAAAAAAAAAAAAAGTTATAGATAAATGATAAATTTTATAAATATTAATACTAATAAAGATTATAAACTTTATTATGATTCTATAATAATTTTCTAATAGTACCATTGATAGGTAAATATTCCATTTTAATTTCTCTTGGTTTTAAAATATTTACAATATTTATATTGATTTTTAAAGGGTTTATTATACTTTATACCCTTTAACTATCGTCAAATTGTCTATTTAGTTATTGAACTAATTGATAGGTAAATATTCCACTTTAATGTCTATTGGTTTTAAAATATTTACAATATTTATATTGATTTTTAAAGGGTTTATTATACTTTATACCCTTTAACTATCGTCAAATTGTCTATTTAGTTATTGAACTATTGATTGAGTTTATTAATTCCCTATATTATATAAATCAAAATCTATTTATTAGTTCCCTAAACAATCGATTAATCTATTAAATCCCTAAAGTCATTGAAAAGATTAAAAAAATAAAATATAAACTCATAAATATTATAAATTAGTAAAAGTCTCTATTTATTCAAAATTTTATTTGAAAAACATGTTAAATTTTTATTCTGTCTTTGAATTTCCGTTATAAGGGTAAGAGTAATGATTTATATATATATTTTGTATTTGTCTTCTACAATATGTTCTTGTCTTTTTTATCTAGTATTATATTTCAGATTTTGTTTGTAATTTCTAATTGATTGTTTTAAAGTTTTTCGCTAAGTTCTTTTTATAATTTAATTAATATATTATTTTGTTTTATTATTATTTAAATTTTTAATACTATTTTTTCAATATATTTAATATTCATATCACTTTATTGGCAAAATTGAGAAACCTGACTCTAATACTAATTTAAACATTGAAAGAAATAAAACACTTTTTAAAAATAAAATACAAATTTAAGATTCTTCTATAATAAAATTTGAATTAGGTAGGGTCTTTTACTAATTTATAATATTTATGGGCTTATATTTTATTTTTTAAATCCTTTTAGGAATTAAATATGTTTGAATTAAATATTTTAGGAACTTGATAAACTCAATTAATAGTTTAGGGACTAAATATATTTAGATTTATATAATTTAGGGATTGAGTAGACTCAATCAATAATTCAAAAATTAAATAGACAATTGGACAATAATTTAAAAGTATAAGGTGTAATAAACCCACTTTTAAAATACAAAAGGGAAAAAAAAATCTCATTTAAATTAGGGGTGCAGCTCGGGCGGGTTCGGTCGGGTTGAGAGGTTGTCCAAGCCCAACCCAAGTTGTGTTGAGACCTGCCCAGGCCCGCCCAAGCTCGAATTGTAACCCGAGGTTGTATGCCCAAGCCCGATCCGAGTTAAACCCGAATTGCCCGAGTTGTAAATGAATTTTAGTTTTTTTTATTTTTTTTTTTTTTTTGCAGCTACATTATTAAATTATTAAAATTTGACTCTATTTACAATTTATTTATTTATTTATAGAAAATTATTAA